CCTGCCACTCCCGCCCCCCCCAGTCCCTACTTAACTGGGGACAGCTCCCGGGTCATAGCTTTGCACCGCTCCTGTTTGCCTGCATGCAAGGCATTTGCTAGGGCAGCAGGGGCCACCATAGAGACACTCTGGCTGGATGCTAAAGTGTCTCTAGAGGTCTGAGCCCCGGCTTGTCTCAGGGCACAGTGGGGAACCGTGCTCTGTGCCGCTTTTCTCTGTGGTGTTTTTATTTGATACCTGGAAATCCAGGTATCAAACTTTGAGCCCATGCTGCAAATATGCAGTGCTCATCTGGATATGCCCTATGAGATCAGATGTAAACAAAGACCATCTCTCTCAGTCATGTTTGTTACAGACCAATAAATGTGATCTCAGTTTTGTAATTTCATTGGGTATCATCCTATATAAGACCTCTGGATCTTTGACTGTATTGCTGGATCACAGTCAGATCACAGTATCTTGTGAGACCCTCCCTTGACTGAAAAGAATGCATCATTTGATTCAGTAGCTGTATCAATACATGCATTGCACAAGACAATTCAGCATTTCTACATACGGCTGTTAATTTGGAAATATATAGGCGTGTTTCATATATGATAATTATTTAGTGGGCAGTATGATTATTCCTACATGAAAATGCGATGAAACTGAAGGAAAAATTTTACAATTGTACATGTGGCAACAATATCCCACAGGAAACCACAATGACTGCTTTGCTTGTTCTAGTAGAAGAGATTCTTGAATTATCATACATTAGCAAACTTGCTGTAATTAGCATTTACTACTTTCAAACATCATCTCCTTTAGAGGGAGCTATCTTCTTAGGAATGCTGATCCAGCAGCATACAATTATGAGATCAAAGGCACCAAGGAAAGAAATGAGGCAAGGATCAAAGGCAAACCATCAGCCAGTTATTATGCTGTGATGCATGTTTTGTGGGCCAGGCCCTGACATCCTCATTTTCTCAAGCAAAAAACTCCCACTGAAATCCTGGGCCCATTGAAGTAAATGGGAGTTTTGCTGTTGACTTGACTAGAGCCAAGGTTTTAGTTAGCCTAGGAGTTTTGCTTGAGTAAAGATTGCACAAACACTGAAGGATTATGTAGTGTAAACAGCAACCAAGCTTGTAGCTACAGCTTTTAAGGTGCAAGAAAGGCCAGCATCTATATTTCATAAACCTGAGCACAAGTGCTGTAATGACAGCAGGCCTCTAGTAGGTCAGAAAGGGAGAGGATCCCATGTTCTCCACAAACCTGCTTGCCCCACTAAAGCCAATTACAGTATGCCTGAATTACAGGATGTCAGGGTTTGGCCCTGCGTGAGCAGATGAAACAAATGTAATTATTATTGAAATTGGCCTGGACTTTGCTGATAGAAGCAAAAATTATGCAGTGAAGTCCTGTAGGAGACAATGTGAATTATACTGCATGCTCTGCCAGTCTTTCCCTCCATGCATCTAATCTCAGTGCAATAGTAGCTGATAGCAAAATTCCAGTTGCCTTCAATAGGAAAAGGATGGAGCTATATGTTTTGATAGCATTCAGATTGTGCTGTTTAACTGTGCATGGAGAAAGCTTGCTTTATTTTAATGTAAAGGATTTTAAAATACTAATTTTCCTTCTCCTGTCCAGGTTTTTAAATGGGAGGCCATTTGAGATGCTGACTGGGATGTCTGATGCCTCTGTGGCATTGGTGTGTATACATCTGATTATTTCTGATGATCCACCCCAGACCTGAATCTAAATACTGAAAGCATTAACAGCTCTTAACAATTAGACAGACTTTCACGTTACAAGCACTGCCTAGACATTAAATAGAGTGAAGTTGTTAGCTGCGTTAATCCAAAGTTAGGTAAAAGGCAGGACAGAGTAACTTAGTCAGAGCTTTCATATTCTACAGCCTGCTTCATCAGATGCTGTGAATGATGAAATAGCATCTGATGAAGTACTCTGTAGCCTACGAAAGCGCATGCCCCCCCGAATGAATTAATCTATAAGATGCCATGCCATGCCGCCTGCCTTCTGCCAGACATTAAATAATTAAAACCCTGACATCTATGTCAGGTAAGAGTAAATAATATTGTCATTATCATCACCATCAGCAGCCATTTTTACAAAGATGGAAATTAAGGTATGATGATTTAATGACTTGTCCAATCCACATGGTGATCAGTGGTAGAGACCAATGGACAACAAAATATTTCAAGCATCCTTATTTTGACTTTTATATAACTGAGGGGTTTGAATCCAGAACCACTGAAATGGCTAATCAAGCAGTTGTTTTTTGTGTGTGAAAAAAGAGTATTAATTTTTTTCATTCATAGTAACATCCTCATGCTTATTATGGTGATTGGAATTAGTAGAACTATATAAGCAACAATTCAACAAATTGTTTAGACTCTCTCTCTCTCTCTGTGTGTGTGTGGTGTCTTATACTTAGTATATTGATCATTACCATGAATAGTAAACACACTGCAAATAGTATTAAATATTTGCAGAATTTGGGCCTGATCCTTCTTCCTGTGAAGTCTGTGGCAAAATTTCCAAAGACTTCAGAGGTGCAGAATCAAGCCTTCAGTAACCAAGTACTGACATTCTAAATCTACCCAGAGAAAGATCAGCAAACAGCAGGAGACATGAGATTTCTGTAAGTGATAACTAACTTTGAAAATAATTAAATAATTCTAGTATAACAAGGTGCCTGGTAAAAATGTGTGAAATACTTGTTATATTATTAGAAAGAGAAAACAAAGATTTACTTGCTAATAATAAGTGTTTCCTCTCCACTGATCCAAACTCTCACAAATTCTCCATACATCTTATTGTAATAGTTGCAAGCCTTGCCTACTCCCATCCAAAGAAATCTCCCATGTGAAATGAGGGCACCGATTCCCATACAATAACAAGGCCCTACAGAAAAGATGAAAGAAAATTGCACATTTTAGCAAAGATTGGTTACAAAATATGCCAAAATCACTCTTTGCACAGGATCTTTTGCTTCATGGTCAAGGTCTATATTTGGATGCTTGATCTCAGATAAAATTTCCTTACAACAATCTGACCTAGGGAAACTTCTAATCTATGGAGCTGAGAGAGAATGTGCTATCTGCACAAATTCGGTGCTATGCCCCACAAACAGCTTGTAAGCACACAGTAAACTAAGTTCTGAATCTGTTTTTGATACTTCAGTTAGATAGTTGTTGAATTGTCCTCCACTAGTAGAATGCCTACATATCAAGAAGTGAACTACAGCTCAAAGACTAATGTCATCATATTATTGTTTATCCACTGATAAATTTAACAAATAGTTTGAAAAATGTGTGTGGAACTTACTTTAAGCTGTAATGATTAACTGACACAAATTGAACTTCTTGGCTTTTTTTATCATATAAATAGTAGTACATAAGGAAGGCACAGACTTAGAAAACAGATGCATTTAAGAGCATTTTATTCAGTGATCTTACGGATATGACTTTCTCAAGAAAGAGGCTAGAACTGGATACTCTGAAGGTAGCTAATGGACAGAATTCTGAACTTATTTCTCCTGAGTAGAAGTCTAGATAACTGTATTGACTTAAAACAATACTAGAACTGAACTGGTATCACTGAGAAAAAGGCTTTGAATGGTTTTGGAACTCTGTTTTACAAGGAAACCTCTGCTTTTGCTGAGAGCTTCCACTCTAATTTCATGGCGTTTATTCAGATCCATGACACAAAGCAAGTTCAATATTTAAAGAAAAGTTTTGTATTTTATGCAGGACACAAGGTTTACAAGTTCCTTAAGATTCCAGCCTTTATAGACAGGAATCATAAGAAAGCCAATACATAGCCTGTGAATTTAGGCAAATTAATGTATTATTACATGACTAATTCTATAAAGCATTCAGGTTAGACTCAAAAACCTCTGTGAATGCTTTTCCAATATTCTTTAAACTCTCCAGAAGCAATTGTTCAATGAGAGGTATCAGGTTTGGATATCCTTTCAAGCTAGTTTCACTCTATCACCTCACTATTAACTAATGTTATTCTTGATCCATACTGGTGTGAAGTGCACATTGTATTCTAACAAATCATCATTCATTAAACTATACCTGATGGAGAAAAACCTGAATTAGTGACAGCTGTGAAATGATTCTAAAACAATTGCAGGAAGTCATGAAACTGGGATATCATCCCCTAAGAAAAAATTCTTTAGTGTCTGTCAAAAGCATAGAGAAATGTAGGTAATGAAAGGGTTCCAAAATGATTGCATCCCCTCAGTTAGTGTGATTTCTACCAGAAAGTGCTTTCCAAAGCTGTAAAGTTTTTCAAAGGTGATAAGATATAAAGCTCTAAAGCATACATGAAAATGATACAGAAGGTAGAAAACTGATTTTGTTTAAAATTCTTATCTTTCTATCATGCAAGACTCTATTCAGTGGAAAGCAAATAAAGGAATACTTATTCCTAACCAAGCCCATTTTACAATGCAAGACTGGGAGTCAAGCTGGGCCCTTCAGATTTTTCCTTTTCCTTGTCTTTATTTTATAAACTTCCTTGTTAGGAGCTTCTGAAACATCACTTTCCTTTTCTTATCCTTATTTGAAAAGCAAAAGAAAAGATCTGGAGACATTTTGGGAGATACTGTTTCTAATATGGGTTTACCTGGGATTGATGATGTTTCTTCATAATTCCATATTAGGAAAAGAAAGCCCGCGAGGAGGAGTATGGGCACAGTGGCAGCTGGCATGGCTTCTGGCACCACATTGGTGATGTTGTAATGCATTGGATTCAAGGTTTCCAGTATCATCTTTTCCAAGAGAATTTTCTTTGTCTTCTGTGGAAGCAATGGGGAAAGAGGCAGACGGATTCAAATTTGAAAGCACCTTTAACTGTAATCAGTACCTTCCAGACCCTTTGCAGATCCTGTAGCTGGGCAAACTCATTCCAATAGTAGCTTTGTTTTTATAATGAGGCTGGCTGCTTAGACAAGACAAGCTAAACCACAAGTCAAAACAGACTTGGAGCAGATACACTTTCTGCCCAGAAAAAAACGGCGTTTTTCTGACCTTGGTATTGAAGTTCAGGTTCCTTTTGGATACTTTAGCTGATAGACCTTTTATCTTTGATATTGCCCTTGGCTGGCCAATAATGACGTTTATTCCAGACAATGTGCCAAATTTATAACCAAAATAAAACAAATTAAACTTTCAACAAATGTGGAGGCATTGAATGAGCTTGCATACAGGCTTTGGTCTAAGTCACTGACCCTTTTTTCCCCTTCTAGTATTTATCACTGGTGTTTTGTGAGTATCCTTGGATTTCCAAAATAATGCAATGCATTGTATTTTTTATATATTTTTTATATATTTTCATAATATTTAGCATTACATTTAGCATAACATAAAGCTTATCAGGTTCACTGACCTGATGCTGTATCTTTTTTGTGGTAGTGACCAATGCTTGACTCAAAGGACAGCTAAGAAGACAATCACATGACTATCCTACAACACATAGGAGAAGGAAGATTCCTGCTTCTGTTCCTACAGATCTTCTTAAGTTTATTCTATAAACTATGAGATTTGATCATCCTTGTGAAAGCCGACACTATTATCTGAGTGAAGTGAGACACCTTATAGTTTGTTGTTACATGTCACAATAAATTAGCAAAACATTCTTTAAAATCTACTCTTGATAATTAAATGTCAATATTTTTGACTCCTTGAGATAGTAATAGATTAAAACTATGATGTATAGGTACTGGGCGCACAGGACTGCAGCCGTTCCAAATTCAGACTTTTTTGTGTTTAACCAACAACTCACTCCTATTATGCTTTCCACGTGTGCTCAAATTTCTCATATGCTTATGTCTCACAACCTTACTTTGGTCATTATTTGTACTATTATATTATTTATACAATGTGCAATAACATGGTAGGTGCTTTACAGATGGTGAGACCTCATGGTCTTTCAATCTAAGTAGTAGAGGTACAGACCATCTACAAAGTGTGAGAAAGGAAAGCAATAATTCAAAACTTTGTGAATTCAAGTGTTATTTTGGATCACTACTATGAAATACTTGGTGTATTTTCCTAAAGGGAATATCTTATCATACACAAGATGCCAAGTAACCCTTTGGACACATGTGCAGTGCTCTGATGACTAGCTGGATCCCATGAGACATTTTATATTTATTGGTGTGGATTCCTCCTTATCTTGTATGCTTCCCACAATGCAAGTCTCTTCTCCAGAAGTGTAACTAGGGTGTGGAAAATGGGGCACTAGCCCCAATGCTGATTTAGAGAGTATGTGGAATCCACTCCAGCAGCAGCTCTTGGCATTCCCTCCTCCTGCTCACTCATGTTCTGCACCCCCTGCACGACACCCTCTTTGCAGGGTGCCAAAAGTGCTAGTTATACCTCTTCTCTTTTTAGCTCCTGCAAAGGGTAGGATAGAAAGCAGTGGGTTCAAACTGCAGTAAAGTAGGTTTAAATTAAGTCTCAGAAAAAGCTTCTTTACTGTAAGGGCAGTAAGATGATAGAACAAGTTGCCCAGGGAGTTGTAGAATGTTTCAAGAGGACACCGGTTTAGGAAAAAGGCATCCTTCACTTATGCAGGGACTGGATTAAATGACCCTTGAAGTCCCTTCCAATTCTAGGATTCTTCTTTGTGGTTAAAAGCATAGTAGATCTGGGTCTGTTCTCTACTCTCACAGCCTTACCTTGTGTTTTTGGCCAATCTCATACCTTCTGCAAAATGCACGTAATTGCATGAATTCCCACAGTGCTGTGGGAATTAATGCCATTCATTAATGTATGCAAAATATTTTAAGTCTCAAATGGTATGTTACTAAAATGTAAGTATTACTTTTGTTGTTTGGAACTCAATGATGTTGATGTCATCATTGGGTTGTGAATACATAAAAAGATTAAGGTTTCCAGATGTGGGAAAGGAGGTAGTTGCTTTTATATGGGTGATAAAGATAGACGCTTCTACCTTTGGAAATGTTTGTTACACATTACAGCAAAAAATGCCTTGGGGCACAGGTTTTTGAATGATCTGTGTTTTTAAACTACATATCACTCTCACTACCATTTCTCAGCTGTGGAAAATAAAGGAAGAAGCTGGAGACTTTAATGAAGAAAACCACTGGGTGAGGGTTCAAGGCAGCCCTTAGTGTGTTAGCTGATCCTCATGTTCTCTTCTCTGATATTTTCATCTCTAAACCTCACCCTGCTCTACCTGATACGTAGGGAAGACAGATTAGAGACTGCATGTACTCGACATGAAAAGGAGGCTAAAGGAGATAAAATCTCTAGTTTCCTACTTAGGGAGCTTGTGATTTGGCTTCCCAGTTTAGCTAGCTTGTGGAGGGATTTCCACAAGAGCACAGCACAGGATGTGCAGATGGATGTTGGTTGAGCCTCTTCAAAAATTTGACCACCTGTGAGCTTCCATTTATTTTGGTGATCTTTCTGTGATTTTTGCTTAGTAAGAATGGAGGGTTTTAATTGCAATTTATATGTTAAGTTGATCAGAAACTGGAAAACTTTTTGGAAGCCAATGCTCCTGTGTGTAAGCTTGAGTGCTATGGGACTGTCTTGGTGAGATATCCACAAATAGTAGTAGCTTTCTAGAGGTGAATCTGATGCACACATTTGCACTGGACTTGCCAAAATACATGACCACTTTGTTGGGACCATTACCTGAACATGAAATCCAGGCTTTGGCTCATGTGTGATGTTGATTAAGGAAGAGTACACAGTCTGTGTACTGACTGTTGATCTGAAATGAATCAAGAAGACTATAACTTAAAGCTAAGACTAGGACACTCATTCACATTCCTGTAAATTTGACCTAAGGACCCTGTCACATGTGACTGGCCTCTTTAAGGGGAGATAAAGCCTAGACCACTGCTGACTGCTTAGCTGACTCCCACGGAAGCTGTGGGCCCTCATGAAGAGCACCTGGCCAGTAGTGTTTGGCTGCAGAGGAGAACAGGTTGGATCTTTTGTAGGAAGCTGTTCCTTGGGCAAACCTCTTGCTTAGGAACAGCAGTCCTGAGAATCAATACTCTGTCAAATGGAGAGACAGTGAAAAAAATCTGATAGGTAGAAAGCACTTTTGAGAGTGAAAACAGATCTGGGAAGGGAGAGCTACTGTGCATGGCTTAAGGGGGGTAAAAAACGCTTGGGTTTTGTGATGGCTTAGACCCCATAAGAGGTTATGTTCTTTTTTCCTGATAGAGCCAGAGTTCAAGTAACTTCAGCATCTGAACTGTGAGAAGATCAGGAAAACAACCTGTGTGAAGAGCAACTGAAGCCATGACTGATCTGCAATTGCCGGGGTAGGTAGTACTGACATGGATCAGATTCAGCCAATCTTACTTGCTCTTGAGCTTTTGAGAAATGGGTACATAAAGGATTCGGGTGCCGGGCCAAAAAAGGTTGTGGTTATGTGAAATGCTTTCCTTTGCTTGCCAGTCTTAAACCACGAAGGACTGAGTAGCGCACTGAGCTACAAGTGTTGTCCTGTGGTCAAACTATTTTTCTGGATACAATGAGATTTAACAGATCAGCAACTTGTTGTGCCATGGTTCCCCCAGTTGAATCACTCTTACTACACCCTTACTACTTTTATACTTTAGTAGTATAGCATAGTCATTTCTATGTCTATATATCTGCATTTCTAACTATTTTGCTACCCCAAATTGTGATTGCTAGAAAGCACATTGCCCACAGCCACCCAAACAGAGAGATAACAAGTATCTAAATGTTTCCTTGCAGTACATCTGTCCTCTTTAAAACAAAACACTGCCAAAGATGCAGTTGTATGTGCTATCAAGTGTGATTTATCCCAGGCACTTTTTCACTCAATTAGGACGTGGCTGGGAGAGGGCAGTCCAGGCTGCCAATCCATATTCCTGGAACTGTTCATGCATTTTACATAATCCTGCTTTTAAAAAGTGCAATAAAGCTGAGGAGTGCAGAGAACAGACCTTTCTCTGCAGAAAGCTTGGCTACAAAAATCCTTTAGGAGTTCTTTGTTATACCAGGGCACAAGATTGCTTGTCAGAAGGACAGCGAGCAAGAAGGAACCTGTTTTTTTTTCTAAGCTGATCGCTGAAAGTGCATGAACAACTCTGGAAGCAGGGACTGGAAGACAGGACTCTGTTTTCCTCCATGCTCACCCACAGCCAAGTGCTCAGACCAGTAGGTGATGGAGTCAGGCTTCTTGCTTACTCTGCTTCTGGTCCCAGGAATCTCTCTCTCCTTGCTTCACAGTGGCTTTTGTTCATGGTTCATATTCTCCTGAGAAGGGAAGTCTGGATTTGAATTTCCCTCAGACTGAAGAGGGCACTGACGCTAGGTAACACATTCAGAGAGTGCTCTGACCACTAAGATGTTATGAAAGGGAGTCTCTGACTGTGTTCATGAATAAAAGTGGCTATGGGAGTGGCTTGTTTTGTGCTGGGGTTGATATTACAGTTGTTACCACTTGGCTCACCTGCTGGATCTCAGTGGCCATATCTACATAAGATGCTCATTACTACCGCGCAGTAGAGTTGTGGGGCACGAACTGTGACACAATGCTACTGCACAGTAGTAATGAGCTACTGTGCAGTCAGTGTCACCAGGATGTTGTGTGGCAATCCTACTGTGCAGTAATGCCAGGTTTGCAAGTACTTGTGCTTGCAAGTACTAAATGATTATGCAGTCACAACTTGTGCAGTCAGCATCTCATGTCAATGAAGCCAGTAAGAGTTAGGCACCCAGCTGCTTAGCCTAGGGCAGTTTGGAGCTTGGGCAGGAATTTCAGGTCTCTTGGACTTTCAAGGTAAACAGGGAAGATGCCCATTGAATTCAGGTATGCATTTCTAAGTAGCTGCTCAGCAGGAGTCTCTTAGGATTGAATTTTGGACTTAGCCAGATGTTAGGAACATTAGGTCTGGTGCTAAATGCTTCCTCTGAGTAAATGTAGAAAACATGCAT